TCCCTCTGCTGCGGGGTTGTTACCCCCTGCGTTAAATAAAGGAGGGGCTTTTATTCTTTTTTTTTTTTTTTTTTTTTTTTGTTTTTGTTCAAATAGATGTTTGTTTCGAAAGGGGGAATTTAACTGATGAAAGGGATGCCGTGAAAGTTCAGAGTGGTTTTTTTTTTTTTTTTTTTTTTTTTTTTTTGCTTCTCCAAAGAACTCTCCCTTGGCAAACCCCTTCTACACTACTGCTGAGGGGAAGTTTAACTCCGATCTGCTCATCCAACCTATGGCTGCGTCTGCAGCTTGAGGATGTGGCTGATTTCTGAAACGTTTTACATGGAGCACACAGTGGGTGGAAATTCCATGAGGTCAATTATATTTTCTTAAGGCAATTTGGGGTTAAAATCTTGAAAGAACGCCAAGTGACGTGTCTGCAGCCTCACTGCTTTTCTTTATTGAATTTTCTAACCCCCTCTGTATTTTTCCCTGACACTCTGCATCCTTCCCTCCGGAGACGGGGCTATTCCATTACTGCGGGTTAGGGAGTTACGATTCCCTGCCTGAGCCGCATTAGCAGACTTCTACCCTTCTCAAATGGGAAATAAAATTAATAAATTTTACAAGTGCCCTCTTGATCTAACTAATTTACTTCACAATTGCCCGGTGATTGTTAGCTCACCTAATGGCCGACAATTCAATACACCAGATTAACTCCATCACTGGCTGTTGTCTGTCCAAACCCTTCTTCCTGTGACTCACTCAAGACTTAAAGGAAAAAAGCTAAAGTCATCTGAATGTTCCTTTTCCGAACATCAGCAGAATTTACAGCCCTTGATTCAGGAATATTCTTATTTACTGCTTTCTCCTCTTTTTTTTCCCCTCCCTTTTATTTGCATGACACACTCTGAAGGAACACCCCAAATTTTAATGTCTTCTAAAACTAAAAAGCAGTGCAAGGTCCCAGGCCCCGTGAGCTAGACTTCCATGAGGACTCGTTGACACAAGGGCTCACCCTGCATGAGGTTACTAACCCACAGAACAGAGAGTCCATCTCCAATCCTGTTGCCCTCTCAACATTCTACACAAAGGGATTTTCCCCCACATAAAGCTTCTCGACTGCGTGGATATCCTGATACAGGCTTCTCTATTATGAAGGATTTTTCCTACAACATGCTACGAAGTATGGGGAGGAAGCCCACCAAAAGTGACTGAAATTCTGCGATGTGAGCTCAAACTCACAAATCTGCACGGTTTCCCTCCTACCATTCTCTTTGAATAGCGGGCACTGTTTTTAAGGTATCACTGGCCAACATGGACAGAAGCGTGTTCCATACCCCTTGTCCTCAGAAGCACTTGGACGCTGGCAGAGATGTGCGAGACATCTCACAGCTGAGGGCTTCGGCACTGCCAGTCAGCAGCTGGAGTACCGAGAGGTTCTGGCAGCAATATTAACAGCTTTGATCTTTCTTGGTGCTACTTTTCAGTTTTTTGCTCTTGAGCTGTCATTGCAGCGTGAAATGGGCGTGACGTCTCAGCCATTCTCTTAGCAATACATCTTCAGACACTGCTGAGTGTGCTTCTGGCCAAGATTTCTGCCTGGCCCCCAGCACCTCACAAACCAACTATGGCAATGTGGTGTCGCATTATCACAGAGTGCTACCACAAATGACATAATTGTGGCTGTTTGCAACATCTGAGGCCACATCTAACGTGCACCACCCCGGAAGTGAACAGGTAAATCAGTAGTTAGTTAGTCCAGACAAGTAATTAGGTGGGAGGGAAACTGGTGGGCTAGTGAACTGCATGCAAAACAGAGACACATTCAGACAACTGCTAGTCTGTACCATGAACAGCAGCACCTACGCTGCTGCTGTTGCTACGCAAGGCAGGGCCTGATGTACCCTAGATGTGTGTACTGACTTGTGTCCGTATATTTGGTAAAGAACAGACATTGAACCAAAACTGTCCTCTGTTGCCTGCCTGGCACTGTTTGCCAAGGAAACTACTTATCTCATTTGAGACTGTTTCCCCAAACCAACTATATTCCAGGTGAGGGATTCAGGACTCCAGGATGTAGACCAACACTACAGATCACAGAATGGCTGAGATTGGAAGGCACCTCTCGAGGTCACCTGGTCCATCCTCCCTGCTCAAGCAGGCTCACCCACAGCAGGCTGCCCAGGACCACGTCCAGATGGCTTTTGAACATCTCCAGGGATGGAGACTCCACAACCTCTGCCAGTGCTTGGTCATGCTCACAGTACAAAAGTTTCCTGATGTTGAGAGGGAACCTCCTGTGTTTCAGTTTTTGGTCCTGGCACTGGGCACCACTGAAAAGAGCCTGGCTTTGTCCTCTTTGCACCCTCCTTTGCAAGTATTCATACACATTGATGAGAACCTCCTCTGAGTCCTCCCTTCTCTAGGCTGAACGGTCCCATCTTTCTCAGCCTTTCCTCATAGGAGAGATGCTCCAGCCCCTTAATCATCTTAGTGGTCCTTCACTGGACTGTTCCCCCACAGCTCCATGTCTCGTACTGTGGAGCCCAGAATTGGACCCCACACCCCATGTTTGACTTCACCAGTGCTGAGAGGGTGGATCACCTCCATTGATCTGCTGGCAACACTCCTCCTAATGCAGCCCAGGATGCCATTTGCCCTCCCTGCAAGGGCACATTGTTGACTTGTGTTCAACCTGGTGTCCACCAGGACCCCTAGGTCCTTCTCTGCAAAGCTGCTTTCCAGCTGGTTGGCCCCCAGTGTGTCCTGGTGCCTGGGCTTGATCCTTCCAAGGTGCACTTCCCCTTGTTGAATTCCATGAGGTTCCTGTTGGCCCATTTCTCCAGTCTGTCACGGTCCCTCTACTGACATACTACATGCATTTGAATTTGAATTCCCTGATTTCCCAGTAATGGATGCCTTCAGTTTATACGACCACAGGTTACTTCAACATGAATTAACTAAACCTGGGAAAAATAAAATGCTGTGTGCACACAAGCCTTTACTCTCCTACCGAAACGTGTAGCTTAGGCACTGAAATGCCATTCAGTATCTGGCATTGAATCCTTACTTTGAATATCTATCCCGTTTCTGATAAATTGGTTATTTTCAAGCTAATTACTTTGAAAATTGTACCTTAATGAATTCCTATTTATATAAATTACATTGTGTTCTCACAGCACTGCTGACTACTTATACCCTTATACATACACATAACTATGTGTGCACACTTACACACAAGCTGGTAATTCCAATTATGCTCTTTCTCCTGGAATACTACAGTGAAAAAAGATGAAAAAATGAGTTTAAGAACTTCCAGTAACAGTTCCATCTTAGTTCAGCTTGGCTTTTTAGTCATCTCCTATCTGGAGCATGTTTAAGCATTTTTCCTTTCAACAAAGATAGGCTTTAAAAAGAGGTGACCAGCCTTCCCTGGTGATAGCCTCAGGTTTTTGCCTTTCTTACTGCTGGCCTCTATACATGAACACTCTCTTTCTCATTCACATTTTTCTTCAAGTCTTCAAACTTGGGCTTCATCCTTTTGCATAATCAATAATCTTTCTCTCTCTCTCAAGTGAACCGAATCCTACCTCGGCTTGTGGTCTCTTATCTCTTTCAGGCTATTACTGCAAGAAATAGTTCTAACCATTGCATGGTTCAAAGTCTGCAAACGAACTCTTGGTCCTCCCAAGTCCTGATGAAATCTGTGTAAAATTTAGGCATTTTTGTTATGGTGGTTATTACTACAACTCCCACCACAATTTGTATCGATAAGGTAGACAGATTGATTACCTTGGGCATCATTCCCCAAGCCAGGGAAAGGTTATTGGTTGGAGACTTATATGTAATAACAATGGGTTTCAAATAATAAAGAAATACTTTATCTAGTCCTGCCATTTTGCCATTTCAAAGATTAAATATTTCTTTTAACCAAACACTAATTATTATTTGCATTATTTCTGTGAACATTTTCTTGCAGTGAGCCATTACGGTGACCTAGATATTTGAAAACAAGGAGCATCTAGGCAATTGCCTGATATTAATAATTTTGTTGTTACTTTTTTAAAGCTATTACAAGTACTGCTAGCCAAAAGGCAAAGTTACTGTAGGTTCTTTCATAATGCTCTTCAGATTAATCAGAAACTAGATTGTAAAACAAATCTAATGAATACACAATATTAACAATGCTTAATATATTTATATTTCAAATAGTATGCAAATATTGATTAATGAGTCCTTAAAGGGTATTTTTGTTGTGGGTATTGATATTAGTATTGCTTTCCACATAGTTGACATCAAATATTACTCCAAGAAAATGCCAAAGATCAGGGCAATGACTCTGAAGGTCATGATTAGAAGTCAGAGGTTCTCACCTCAGGGCTGAGTTCGGACTATGAGACCATCTCACACTGTACCAGAGCAAACATGGTCTGACACCAGTGAATGCTGTTCCATGGTAAACTGCAAAGACCTAATTTCTCCCCTTAGTTAAATTGGAAAAGGCTCCTTCACAAGTTTCAGCTATAAAATGAAGAGAAAAACGGGGCCTAAGATTTAAGAAACACATGTGGTCAAAAAAGTAATCAACTAAGAGGCTATCTCAGAGAAGAAAAAAACCAAACCCAGCATTGTTCAAGTTTATAATTGTACTACATTTTTTCCATGTTATTACAATACCCTTCATTTGGGAAGTTTTTAAAGATTATTCTGTAGCAAATAATACGGGAAACCAGCCACACTAATGCATATTCTCTAAAAAGTCACTAGCTTTCAGATGGAAAATACATTTATTGTTTCTTTTCAGTAGTTTCTATTTCATTTTAACACCTTATCCTAAAAAATCCTACTATCTGCATACATTGTAGTAATATCTTTCAAACTAGTGGAAGGCAAATTGCTAATTACATGCCGTGGGTGATGACTACTTGGCAGCAGAAAAGCATTTTTATCTCTAGGCTTAGAATAAACTATTGTTATAAATATGTTTTGTTCCATTTTAATCAGGG